GAGAGAGAGAGAGAGAGAATTCTTTCTTGTAAGTCGACGTGGTCGACGGTGTAATCCTCAAAGCTAATAAAATCCTCTGCAGCTCCGTGGACGTAGGGAAGTTGTCGAACCATGTAAATATTGTGTCGTCTTTTTCTGGTGTAATTTTCTCGATCTATTTTTTGTTTTATTGTCGTCGTTTTTTTCATAACACATAACACTATATTGAATGGAATAGAAACCGAAGGCCTAATGTGACTCAATCTAATGAATTTCCTGTGGGATTTTGCAAATTTCCAAGAAGCATTTCAACATATACTATAAGGTACGTACATTATAATTTTTCTAACATGATAAATAGATTATTCATGCTCTAAAAATTTGATAGTTCTATAAATATATTTAAGTTCGAAAGATCTTTTCAGATTAATGAGCTTCCAACATGAGACCCAAGAAAAAATATTCAATCAAGAAGTCATCATATTATCCAAAAATAATATTGTGTCTGCTGAATTGCTCTATACATTGTCGGATAATACATATTTTCTCCTACCGAAAAAGATTATTCTAGCTCTATTTTAAGTGACAGGATTCATCAGACAGATCGAATCAATCAAACCTTAACGTGTCAGTCAAATTCGTCTGGGCACCAATACCACTTTCAAGACTCGATAAAAGATTCCATTACGTACAACAAATGTCAGGTTAGTACAATACAACAGGAAATAAATGAGTGCAGCGAGCTCTTCGTACTAATAAGCTCCACAGCACCATGAAAACGATAAATATATATGCGAACAATCAAACCGTACCTCGCCCGATGCTACAGTGATTATATGAGGCGTGAAATTTGCGCCGGCTGAGCATGCCACCATTTCGCCTGAGAGAACAGTAATAAATTCAACAAACTGTAAGGAAAACTGATTCCAATCGATTTGAATTACAAAATTAATTTAATTGTGCAAAAAATACAAGTCACTCCATCCCTAAACTTTCAATTTCGGTGCCCGGGACATATATCAAGGAAAAGTCAAATCTTTTTTGCAAGAGTTTATTAAAGTTGAGATAATGCACATGCATGGTGGCATCTTCTTTAAAAAAAAAAGGAGAGGAAATTTACATAGATACCACATAATTCACATGTTTTTACAGAACTGATACCCAAAGTTTCTGCATTCAGCAGAAAAAAATATTCTAACTGGACTGACGTGATGTCAAAAATCTAAAAAACTATTCTTTAGATTCGCCAGGTCGGTTTGGACCAGATTTACTGGCATTATTAAAAGTCAAACTTGATCTCGTTCAGCTCCCATTCCCTCATAACGTTGAAGAAATATTTCGATGAGTCGTCGTATGATACTTGATATCATATTCGGACTATCGCATATATATATATATATATATATATATATATATATATATATTGCAGGGCCATATAAAAGTCAAAGGAAGCAAAATATCGATTGTGCCATAAAACCCTAAATAACGCAATGCTCGCATTCCCGCACAAGAACGTCCAACCGGATTCATGTCAGATCTATCGAAATCCGTAACATCAGCGGTCCCCTGTTTCTAAGCTCAAAACACGAAAGAGACGTAACCAATTCAAACAAAATTTCAAAAGCAATTACAAACACTGCGAAACGCAAGGCAACAAAAAAACCAAACAAATGGCCAAACGCGAAAGCACAAAATTGTTCATTAGCCCAAAACGTTCCATTCAAACGAAACCAATACCAAATAATCATGAACTGTTGCGAACAGTTGCCGAGCAAATAATTTACCTAACGATTCCAACTCAATCCTCGGTTGCTGCTTCGTCAAGAAGCCCCCCGTCCTCCCCCTCCCCCGTTTCAACGAGAAAGCCGGCGGCGCCGACAGCTGTCCCGGCGGCAGAGAAGACGAGATTGGCGTCGGGTTCAGCGGCACCATCACGCTCCCATCCGGCGCGTACTTCCTCGGTCTTCCCCTCTTCTTCTTCCCCTGCATCCCCTCGCCAGCCGATCCAGACCATACCGTCAACCCAGCCGACGCGGCAAGAGGAACCGGCGAAACTATGCCCCCGCTTGGACCGGGATTGTCTGCTCTTGTCACCACCGGCAACGGATTTTGATATCCCCCGCCAACCTCCGTTGCCCCCATAAAACCGCCCTGTTTCATCCCTTCCCTTCCCTCCATACATAACATACGCCCCGACAACAAACCCTAGCAAATCTCGCCGATCGGATTCGAACGGCTAGATTTCATCGAGCTCCAGCGCTGGATTTCTTTCACGAAACGCCACCCGCCGGCTCGTCGCTCAACGGAGTGAGAGCTTCGCCTGAGAGAAGAGTGGTGGCTCGAGAGCACAAAAAATTAATTTATGTTAAATAATTAAATAATTAATTAGTAGGTGATAAAAGTAAAACAATAATTACTAAAATGGAGATATTTTGAAATCCAGGGCAATATTTTATGCGGAGGAGACACAAAAATCGAAATATGCTTTCCGACTCTCCGTCCATCACGGGAAATTATTAAAATGCATTATGGGAAAAAAAATAATTAATTAATTAATTAAAAAAAAAAATAAAATTATTTCTATTTTTTCTTCCTCCTAAAATTTCTCAGCTTTAAGAGCTTCAATGAAATTAGAACGTTGGAGGTTCGGCTTTTGTCTGCCGCTTTACTGCCCCGGGCTCCTTTGGGATATAACTAAAAGATGGTCTTTTTGACTGCAGCCCCTCGGTAATTGTATAAATTACGTGGAGGCCCTCGAGGTATAGCGTGCAATTTTAGGGTGGGGAGGGCCGGTTCGGGGAGTATCTGGACCGGATAGGTGGGAGGACTGAGGAGTATAGGATAGCAGAAGGATGTTTTGCGGGTCAAAACAATAATATGTTGAGTTGTTTTGGTCGGAACCGGTTCGAAATACGAGGAGCAGCATTTCGCAACATGATTGAGGTTATGTAATATAAAAGTGTTTGAGCTGCTGCCATCTTTAATTTTGGGTTTGAATGTAATTAAACTAATGGAGTTGGTGGTCAATTCTGTGAATTAGTGTCGGCTGTTCATTTTTTTTAAAATTTAATAATATAAATAATTTTAATTAATTTTTTTAGTAATGACATGATGGAAATTAAAAATTAGGTGAAAATTATTTAAAAATTTTGATATAGTAGAAAGATATACCTTTTAATCTTTTTAATGGTTTGCATTTAAATCATTGGATTGTATCATATTTTTACATTTATTAATACTTATTTTTTTTTTCAAGTTAAGCATATGAGTTATTCCTTAAGTTAATATTACTAACAACAGTTTTAAAAAGTTGCTTTCACCGTAATACTTTCAATTACATTTTCAAAATACCCTAAATGGACCATTCGTTATGTACTTCTAAGAGCTGCAAAGAGAGGAAGAAAAGAGAACTTCATTCCATGACCATTTTGTCACAGACAAAAAGTCCCACATCGACTAGGTGTAGGGCCGAAAAGTAGTATTTAAGTCCTGGGGTGCCCATCACCCCCAAGAGCTCTTTTGGGAGGTGACAATTTGCTCTTAAGATTCACCAACATCATTGTTGGTCAGTGGCATTTTGTCTGCGGAAGCTACTGCTTTTGATCTTATTTTCAACGATGATAACACATACAACAAAAAAGGCTAGTAAATGCTTGTAGGATTCTAAGGAAAGTGGATGAGAGAAGGAGAGGAGGATGCCTCCTCTACTAGTTGAGGAGATGGGATTACTAGTGAGTGGTTAGTCGCCTTTAAAAAGAAGTGTTAAGTTTGGTAATAGGAATTGAGCAAGATTTAAGTAGGGTTTGGCAGTAGGAATTGAGCAAGATTTAACTAGGATTTAAGCTAAATCGTGTCAAACAATAGAAGTGAAAACTTTAATTCCTTTAAAATTGTAAATCTCATTCTACTTTTTACCTTAAATTGAGTTCAGTAAATTTCATTAGAAGGCGGCTTAACTAAATATACTCAAAATGAAGCACATGAAAGGGGTGGGTCGTATAAACAAGGTTTATTTGCATTGCAGAGCGGAAGGAGGAGAAAAACACGAGTCTTTTAGGTTTTCACACACCGCAATCACATCAAATTCCAATTAACTCTGACCGTGATTGTATCGAAGGGAATAAGAAGGTAGCCTTATTTGCTTTTCCAATTAACTCTGACTGTGATTGTATCGAAGGGAATAAGAAGGTAGCCTTATGTTTCAAAAGAGTATGTTTTGCGCGGGGGTTGAGAGTAGAGTTTCAAAGGAGTTTTATTTAAAATTAATTTCTTACTAATTACTATAATTTAATAAAATAATTTCTGTTAATTTAATTTAGGGCCATTTACATACATAACGCACCATTTTTATATATTTACATATCTCACAACTAAACTTTCATATTTACATGCACAACACTCAACTCAATTCTTTAGTATCAAAACAACAACAACAATATCATTACTCATCAAAAATGAATTACACTATCATGCAGAGGCTTAAAACAATAAAGTGCTATCAATGTAAATATGAGTGTTTAGGTACGAGAAATGTAAATACATAATTAAGTACTTAAATATCTCCAATTTATTACTAATCACTAATAATTAGTGGGTTAACAAATTGTTCATTATTTAATAGATTTTATTATAACTAATATAATCTTAATAATTAATTGAATCATAATTAACTAATAACAAGTAAATTATAAATTAATATTCAATTTACTTAATAAAAATATCCTCCATGATTGATTAGATTAGTAAATAATTTACCAATAAATAGTTCATGAATATTTATACACTGAATAAAGACTAATTAGTTCAAGAAATTTCTCATTAATGCCTACTTAACATATTAAAAAAATAATTACTGATTAATATAGATAAAATAATAAATATTCTGATCTAAATATATCAAATCATAGTAATTACGGCATTAACATGAAATATTAAATATTTAAATTTATATTTGTACTATCTTCTTTAGATTCTACGAATCTGAACCCAATGTTCAGAATATTAATTTTTTTGTCGGATCTGAAAAAATTAGAAATTAAAACAACAGGGTCACTTTATAGGTCTACTTCTGGGTCCCCTTAGAGGACGGCAATATCTTAGTTATAAAGCGACGACAATGAAGACCATTTCTAGGTTGGACGGTTGTGAGGAAGCTGGGATTAGGTTTAGTAGTATTTTGTTTGATGGGGACTTAATTTTGCTTGACTTCAAAGTAATTCACATTAAGCTACAAATTTTATGCGATTATTTTATTAGTTATGATTGGTATTGTTGAATTTAGATATGTAATTTGATTGGGGGCATTTACATAAAGAGCACTCGAGTGCTGTTTATTTACATTTCTATGCCTAAATTTTGCATTTTTATGTTTTGACCGCCCAAATTTTTTATATCACATTAAAAAAAATACTTTTTGTAACTTGTAAAATGTGAAATATATCTTTTCATGCATAGAAAGTGTGGTATGTAGATATATAGGGCTATCAAAGCAGTTCGTTGTTAGCGAACAGCTCTTGTTCGGCTCATTCGCTAAGTTAACGGGCCCAACACAAATAAAGATTTAATCGTTCATGTTCGGCTCGTTTTCGCTCGAACTACTACTCATCAATTATATATATATA